CTTCAGGCGAAATGAGCTAGTGGTCCCATCTGCCAACTGAACTGTGGTCTTCTCAGCTTGGTTCCACTCCGCCAGATCCATTGCAGGGCGTAGTGCGTGGGTAGCACCTGAATCGATGAGCACCATGTCATTCTCCACGCGATTCAGACCCTCAAGCTGCATCACCTTCAGCGTTGGATTTGAATGAGGACCTTTGAGAGTTCGCAGTAGTTGAGTTGCTTCATGTAGAAGCTCAGCCGTCTTCTCATTTCTGGCTGCTTGATCACCCCCTGTTCCTCCATCTCCCAAACCTTTGGCCATTTCACCACCATCATTCCCAGGGTTGCCAGTCTTCAACTCCCCCGTAGATGCATTTGCAGTCGATGTTGTGGTGATCTCATTGATCATGGGCTTGGATGGAGATGCCATAGGCGATGATGTTGTTGTTGAAGCTGTTGCCTTCGTTGACGGAGTTGCAGCAGCAAGAGAATTGGAATTGGCACTTCCTCCCCCCGAACCCTTGGGTTCGTCCTTTTTGCCACCACCACCACCTCCACGGACTTTGCAATCAGCTTTGCGGTGTTCCTTGGAGCCGCACACAAAGCATCGAGCGCCCTTGTCAGAGACACCCTCCCAACTATGACTCCATTTGCACTTGGATCCAGCACGGCATCCTTGATCACTTCGAAACCATTTGCAAGGCGCATCAAAAGTAGCACCACCTTTGCCCTTGCCATTTGTTGTGGAAGTTGAATCTGAAGAGCTCTTGATGGAGGAGCTGAGGCCAGTTGCATCCATGGGCTTCAGCTTCAAAGAAGATTGTTGCTCCGTCTTTGGGGTTGTAGCCATCAAGCACAAAGTCTCGGCCTCGGCCAGCAAACATTGACTAAAGGCCCACAAGCTTCCATGCTCCGGCTTCTCATCAAGCTGCAGCTGCATTCTGCTCTGAGAAAGGCGGAAGGCCGCTTGTTGATCGAGGTTGGCGATCTTTTGAAGTGGTTCATCCAATGCTTTCACAAGAAGCACTCCATCTGGCAACACAGCTTGGACTTCTTGGGCACGACCGAAATGTCTTCGCCAGTTGCGCAGTGCTGAAGCCACATCATGAGCATTGGTGACCTTTGGCATCGTTGTCAGCTGCTGCAAGAGGATTTGCTTCTCTCCTGCTCCGCCTGGTTGGAAGCGGACCATCAGCTTGTAGAGAATGGCCGTTGAGCTCAAGCTTCGATCTGTCACCAACTCCTGTTGTTCTGCCAAGGGAATTGCCTTCAGCAGCATCTGCACCCCTCTCTGCTCAGTGCGTTGAAAGCGATGCTCATTCAGATCATCTGGAAGTCTCGGCCTGATCTGGATGCGCTGCAAAGGAGAGCTAGATTTCCACTGCTCATAGTACACCTTGGCTTCTCGAAGCGTTGACTCCCACCACCACCCAGCGACTCCACTGATGTCCTTCATAGATGGGGTGCACAAGTGAAGCCAATCCCCAAACTGCAAAGGGCTTGATGTTGCTGGCAGGTCTGGGAGTTCAGCTTTGGTGTTCATTGAACCTTGTTCAGACCCAGACCATGGACCATAGATGCGGTCCTGACATCCATCTCCTGATCCACCTCCCCCCAAACCATGCCGAGGAAGGGCCCAAGGATTGCCAGGAACTTTATCAAGTGGATTCGATGCAGGCCCATGCAAAGCCCGATCGTGTTGATATACTCCGTCTCCATGCAAGACCCGATCTTGATGAGATACATGACCGCCCTGCTGAGCCCGAACTTGATGAAGACCTTCACCATGCACAGCCCGACCTTGATGACATACTTCGCTATCATGCAAAGCCCGACCGTGAGGGGGTACATCAAAACCACCAAGCAAGTTCCCAGGGCATACACCGTGACGAGCACCATCCATAGCGCTAGCCCGATCATGTCGACATTCATCACCAAGACCCCCATTGCTCAAAGTGCTAGCCCGATCTCCGTGAAGGTTGGCACCACGTGGAAGATCTCCCGGGTACGCACGGCTAATGCGCTCAGCCAGATCGGGGTCAACTTGCCCCACGTTCGAAGGCAAGGCAGGATGACCGGACCCATGGTTGGATTGGGGCCTATCCACACTACGTTGAAACCGTCCATTCCAGTACTCAGAACCATGAAAGGAATTCCCTTGTACCATGTTGGCCAGTGTGCTACGCAGTGAAGCCACTTCCTTCTCCAGCCAAAAAGCCCTAGCTTCCCCTGGAGTAGGTTCATGGGATTTCTCGCATGCAGGCTTCCATCGAGGATCAACTGAAGGAACTTTCGAATCCAATTGAGAAATTTCATACCGTTCCAACATCGTTGCAGTATCTTCTCGAACTTCCATAGGAAAAGGAGGCATTGGAGGAGGCATGGGAATCTCTGGAGACAATTCCTGTGGTGGAGTGCCATCCGGGATCTTCGTGCCATTCGGGGTGAATTTGCTGACATTCCCAAAAGTGACACCGGCCCTTGGGGTTTTGCATCCACCAAATTCCCCACCACCGCTGCTTCCCTTCCGTTCTCGCACGCCCTCACTAGGGACTTCAACCCAGGAAGAAACTGAGTCCAAACCAGAATTGGGGCTACTACGATGCAGACGCCGCAACTCTTCCAGTTCAGCCATCAACAAAGTATTTTGTTCCCTCAACTGATTGACCACTTCTACTTCCAGAGCACGTTGCAACTCATCTACAGTTTCAGGCACCCTATTGTCAGTGACCCTTCCCATAGACTTGACCGTTGCCTCAAACTCATCTGGCATTTGACCTTCTGATTGCTTGACAGTATGTTCTACCCCATCACCATCCATTCCAGATTTTCGGCTTGGTGGGGTCACAAACACAGCTGGCTTCGAAGATGCAGACCCACCACGACCCTTGCCAATGCATTCACCTGCACGTTGACCTTGTCCGTCATGGATCGGTGCCGCATCACCAGGGGAAAGTTCTGGCAATCCCTTTGGTCTCGAAGCTTGCAGCCTATACTCAGCCTGATTCCCTTCAGAGTAGAACACATTGCCAATGCTACCAGATTCAGATACCAGTTTTCCATGGGGTGGTTCCGAAGTAGATCGAACAACCATTGCGCAACAAAAAGAAATCTAAACAGAGGGACTTGGGCTCATAACCCTCAAACACCGGACGCCCCTTTTCTTCAACAACTTGGGATAAAATGCCTCGGTAGATATGTGAAGTCACCCATGTTGGCAGACTTAGAATTGCTACCATCAATCCCTTCCTCGAAATTTCTGGAAACAGCTCTCAGCTCAGGCCGTTGATCACGTGGAAGCCTGAAAGGTAAGTGATCTTCGGCCAGGAGCCGAGTACCGAAAACCAGTGCAATTGTAGGCCTTTGGTAGTCGGAAGGGCACCATACACCACAGACAAACACGAAAATTACCAGATCACCCTATTTAATGTTAAATGCCCCCTGACCTGTGAGCCCTAGTTTAGCATGAGATTTGTTCATCTTGCGGGGTATGGGGAAGGTATACTCATGCCCTGCGAAGCTCCATCTCCAGGTCTGCAAACTATGAAGGCTGATTTGGGCGACACACCAAAGCCAGCAACCTGAGGAGTGCGGCCGTGGTGCTGTCGAGGCTGACCGGACTCTCTCTTCCTGTACAGGTACGCAAAGTCGGGTCCACCGTTACATCGCCGTTGTATAGTTACGCCCCCAAATCTCAAGGCCTATCGTCATGAGGGACATTCTGAAATGGCTGAAGGTTAAAACAAATTGCTTATAATATGTGTATCTTAGCGCTTTTGGAGTCCTTGCTGGGCTGCCATGTCTTTGTGCATGTTTTTTTTCCCAGCTGCCAGAGGTGTTTTGAGGATGTCCCTCAAATCCTTGATCCATAATTTTAACTATTTGAATACTGTGCTGTGACACGCTTGGCTCACATTTGCCGGTCGACATTGAAAATAATACATAAAGATGATCTTGACCAGTCAAAGAAACGAAATTCTCAAGGCACTCCAATCAAAGTCCTGTTTGATCAGGAGCATGGTATGATTTGGAAAGATCATTCGGCAAGTGCTTAGTCCTCAAAGGGGCGTGATTCCCAGTTTTCTACGAAACAAGCTTCGCCCTTCATGATTCAGTTCCAATAAGCAGCATTAGTTCTCAGTTCTTCTGAAGTTTTCCACAGTCAATAGTCACACTAGTGGAGCAAAACTTGATGAAGGTTGATGAGGTCACTTGTGCCTTGTTGTTCTCCATTTTCCACGCCACCAGAGTCATCCTTTCCAACCAGGCGCTTTGCCCGTTGCACACCGGCCCTGGTGTGGGTGTAGAGGAACCCCCTTGGTTGGCCATTGGTTTTTGCATCGGCTCCTCATTGCAGATTCGCACTGAGAGGAGGCCAAATTCTACAAATCCCTCGGCACTCGGCCTGGCTGGCGCCCAGTCCCAGATGAATCTTGATCGACACTTTAGACGTTAGACGTTTTTAGACACTGCAACACGCTGGTTTTAGCAATGTTTATCATTGTTTATCCATTCTGAATATATACGTATATATATATACATACATCAGTATAAGTATCACCCATCCTTTTCTAATCATTGCTGAGCAGATCTTGGTTGGGTATCATCCCCTAAATTATTCAAAGAGCATCTGTGAATTGATTGGTTCAAGGGGAACACCGGAAACCAAGGTATGTTCAAGGTGTTCAAGGTCCCAAATAGAAGGGGGTTGCTGGAAATGGTCGCTTCAAACCAAGTCAAAGAGTGTAAGATTCGGGCAGTGGCACCGCGGGTTTTTTGCCGATGGGACTTGTCACCGTACCTGCGACTTCAGTCGCAGGTCCGCCGGGACAGCGGGAAAAAAGTGGTGTCGCCGGGAGATGATTTACTTGGGTCATTGTCCAAAAGAAAGGATGGAAACAACAAGAAAACCTATATTGAGTTGAAATGTCAAAATGAAATCAAAGCATTATAAATCATTATAAGTCATTATAACTCCAATGCTGTTGATCAAGCACCGTTGATGCAAGACTCGGACCGACCAGCTTGGCTCGCAGCTCGGTGTGATCATTCTCCACCGCGATGAGTTTCACAAGGCACAGGACCGTCCTAGCGGGCGCGCATGGAGCTTGACGATGCAACAGGTGGTGAAGGGGCAAAGGTCACCATGGTGTCATATCCAATGGTTGAATGGTTGTTCAATGGTTGGGGAGTTGCCAGTGCAGCCTTGCAAAAAGCGCTGTCTGGTTTTTTCTCTTTATGAACTAAACAAGGCGTTTCGAGAAGGCGGTTTTGGCTGGGTAGAGGTGGTGCCATATCAGTGATTGCCATGCGGACTGAATGTTTAGGAGAGAAGAACCTGGCTACTCATACTCTGAAGACCATCAATAAGGAACATGTATACTCGTAATTGGTTAGTTTTATTCGGCACGTTCCACCACATGTCCAAAATTCGTTGTAGATGTTCAGAGTTTCTGAAGAGCAAATATGGCAGACGTTGAAGGTAAGTGTTTGACTTTTGACTGACAAGCAGAAGTTGAATGCATTTCTTTCCATGTGGGTACGGCTCAAGCTGTGTTCAAGATGACATATCGTACATATGTAACTATACATTTGTATATATTATATATGTATATAGACACTACATAGATATGTAATACATATGTGCTACATATATATATATATAATACTATCTATATACATACATACATGTATGTGTATATATATACTATATACATTAGATACATTATATACGTTATATACATTATATACATTATATACTTTTTATAATTTATATACTTTATATACATTGTATACATTGTATACATTGTATACATTACTTGCATTATATACATTTTATACATATATCTACTATATATATATATATTCTATCTATATATATATGCCTTATATATTATGTTGTCGAGCTGCCATTCAACCATGGACCCGGGTCCAGCCATCGGCCCCTGCAGGTCTGGGCTTGGGCTTCCACAAAGTTGGAAGGAGCGACGGGGCGGCTGGGTGCTGTTGGTGATAATTAGAAGATGTACTGATATGATCTGCTAGGGAATGACCTCAAAATGATATACCCTTTTAAAAATAAATGATGGTTAAACAAGTCAAATACCAAAGATGGGACCCAGTTTTGTGGGTCGGAATAAGTACAGTACCCCATGTTTGATGGGATGTTTGGGCCATAGCCATATGCTGCTGTAGAAACTTGTCTTGTACATGTAATTACATTGAAGCTGGTTGCATTTGGTTGACATTTGTGACTGTCGTCGGTAGTTTGTAGGTAAGACTTTATACAAAGGAGCAAGGAAATCACAGTGGCTAGTGAAAGGGCGTGAAAGAGCAGGACAAGCAGCATCAAGCAGCTGGTTCGTTGCTGTTCTTTCTTGAGACGATTCACACAACTGACGATATTTCTGTTGTGATAGTTCAACCAGCACCGATTTTTCAAATTTGCCGAGGAGTCTTCTTGTCCAAAACTCAGGGCTGCAGTGCTGCTCCAATCGAGGGAGCGGTGCAAGTGTGCATCGGCCTTCCAGCACGCGGTGATGCCTTCAACGCGAAGAACCTTTTTTTGAGTCTTGCCATATTCCTCCCTAGTGGCCAAAATGAATTAAGATGAATTAAGCTCCTACTTTCCACAATCTTTGGATAGCATCTGCAACTATGAAATCCTGCTTTGTTGAAGCCATGACATCTTGCCTAGGCCAGACGCTTGTTGTTGCAGTCCAGGCAAAGGTGAGCCGCCCGAGGAGTGGCGACTGAAAGGATCTCACCTTCTCAATTTAAATGATAGGTAGTAAGGGTCACTATGCCCAATATGACCTTGTTTCAGGTTGCTGAACTATTATTATTTATTTATTTATTATTTTTATTTATTGATTGATTGATTGACTGATTGATTCATTAATTTAGATAAAAGGACCGGATAACCCCACATGTCAAGCCTTTATGTATCTCAGCTTAATGTGAACTTCGTGGAGGTGTGAGAAGTGAGGTGTGAGAAGTGGACTTGTGATGTCAGGTGTGAGAAGTGGAGCTGTGATGAGTTCTGATGCGATAAGTGAGGTGTGAGAAGTGGTGTGAGAAGTGGAGCTGTGATGAGTTGGGATGTGATAAGTTGTGATGATTTGCGATGAGAAGTTGTGATGTGATAAGGAAGGTGTGAGAAGTGAGGTGTGAGAAGTGGAACTGTGATGAGTTGGGATGTGAGAAGTTGTGATGAGTTGTGATGAGAAGTGGACCTGTCAGAAGTGGAGCTGTGATGAGTTGTGATGAGCAGTGGAGCTGTGATGAGTGAGGTGTGAGAAGTGGAGCTGTGATGAGTTGGTATGTGATAAGTTGTGATGAGTTGTGATGAGAAGTTGTGATGTGATAAGTGGAGCTGTGATGAGTGGTGCTGATAAGTCTACGGCGGCGGAGGCGGGAACAGGAGCGGCGGGATCCAAGTGAAAAACAAGAGCCCGGCACATGATACATGCAGCACACGAGCTCTTTTTCAAGAGAGGCCGCGCAAGTTCAAGCGTCATCATTCTGTGCAGTGTAGGGTACCTGGCACAGGTGATGAGGTAAAAGAAATATGAAATGAACTGATGAGTCTATGTGACTGAAAGTAGCGGAGTGATACTGTCGTCTGTATGTTCTGTATGTTCCCTGTTAAACGTAAAGGTCGAACAGAAGTGTTTCCCAGATTGATTCCAGGAGGCTCTGTGTACTGCGCCTGCCACACAAAAGGCAGCCGCGGGCCAGCGACGCCCACGCGCGCCGCAGCTCCGCCAGGAGGCTCTGTGTACTGCGCCTGCCACGCAAAAGGCAGCCGCGGGCCAGCGACGCCCACGCGTGCCGCAGCTCCTCCAGGAGGCGCTGTGTACTGCGCCTGTGAGTGAGTGACTGAGGGAGGGAGGGAGGGAGTGAGTGAGCGAGTGAGCGAGTGAGCGAGTGAGCGAGTGAGCGAGCGAGTGAGCGAGTGAGCGAGTGAGCGAGAGAGCGAGAGAGCGAGAGAGCGAGAGAGCGAGAGAGCGAGAGAGCGTGAGTGCGTGAGTGCGTGAGTGCGAGAGTGTGAGAGTGAGAGTGAGAGTGAGAGTGAGAGTGAGAGTGTGAGGGAGTGAGGGAGTGAGGGAGTGAGCGAGTGCGCGAGTGCGCGAGTGCGTGAGGGAGTGAGGGAGTGAGGGAGTGAGGGAGTGAGGGAGTGAGGGAGTGAGGGAGTGAGGGAGTGAGGGAGTGAGGGAGTGAGGGAGTGGGTGAGTGGGTGAGTGGGTGAGTGGGTGAGTGGGTGAGTGGGTGAGTGGGTGAGTGGGTGAGTGGGTGAGTGGGTGAGTGGGTGAGTGGGTGAGGGGGTGAGTGGGTGAGTGGGTGAGTGGGTGAGTGGGTGAGTGGGTGAGTGGGTGAGTGGGTGAGTGGGTGAGTGGGTGAGTGGGTGAGTGGGTGAGTGGGTGAGTGGGTGAGTGGGTGAGTGGGTGAGTGGGTGAGTGGGTGAGTGGGTGAGTGGGTGGGTGAGTGGGTGAGTGGGTGAGTGGGAGTGAGTGAGTGAGTGAGTGAGTGAGTGAGTGTGAGGAGGCCGCGGAGGAGGAGGATGCGGGAACCCGTGGGGAATAGATGGATTGATGGATAGATGGATGGATGGATAGATAGATAGATAGATGTATATCCCTTGTAAATGATGATGTGGATTGGTGGAATTGTCCTGAAGATGAAGCGCTGGATAGAAGAAAAGTCGGCCCACCAAAATATATATCACCGCGCATACCATCGCCAAGCAGAAAGGGTTTCAAAACCTGACGAGTACCCTAGCTTGAAACCATCAAAATGGCAAGCAGATGCAAATGGGTGTTTCATGCCCCGAAGAGCCTGCTAAGCTCATGATGGGGAAGGCTCCATGCACTTGTTATCCTGAAACTCTCACCCCTTGCAGATTGACGAAAGCCGGTATCACTTGTGTCTTCAAGATCTTGATGGTGAACCCTTCTCAAAGGCTTCTGTAAAAGCTCCCACTTGATGCACAATTCCAAACTCATCATGACAGTTAGTTTCAAGACTTTTTGCCGTCCAAAGTGTATGTATGCTCCCTTTCCATGGTGTTTTTTCTGCGTCATTGAAACCGCCGGAAGCCGAGTCCCGGTCCCATTTTTCCAACAAGCAATCTTGTTAAAGGTCCTGAACTCGGAGGAAAATACGGAGATCTTGTGCTGGCCTGAGATCTGGAACTTTCTCTGGGGAAGATTTATAGGGCGATTGAAACGGAAAAAACATCGAACTAACTGGGGTGGATAATCCATTGCAATGTTTGATTTCCCAAAGGTATGTTCTCAACAACAACAACAACAACAACAACAACAACAACAACAACAACAACAACAACAACCACAACCACAACCACAACCACAACCACAACGACAACGACAACGACGCCAACGCCAACGCCAACGCCAACGACAACGACAACGACCACGTTGACGACGACGACGACGACGACCACGACGACCACGACGACGACGACGACGACGACGCCGCGACGACGACGACGACGATGACAACGACCACGACCACGACCACGACGACAACGACAACGACAACAACGACAACCACCACAACGACAACCACAACCACAACAACCACAACAACCACAACAACCACAACAACCACAACAACCACAACAACCGTCAACAACAACAACAACAACAGCAGCAACAGCAACAGCAACAGCAACAACAACAACAACCACCACCACCACCACCACAACAGCCAACAACAACAGCAGCAGCAGCAGCATCACCAGCAACACGAGCAACAACAGCAGCAACAACAGCAGCAACAAGAAGAAGAAGAACAACAAGAACAAGTCCGAACCTCTCTCTTTCATTACTTCACAGTTAATGCTGGCACCTTTTCTGGGAAGGGTTTCCAGATCTTGGCAAATTTTTTCTGACTTTTGCGGACTGGGATTGCTTGAAAGGGTCCAAGACAGAAATGGTGGGAATGGGTCCCCCAATTTATGGCCAACTGGGAAAACGCTGTTCTACAGAACCACTGTGTTTGGGGCTTTCCCCATCTGATAAATCCAAATGTTCACATGCCCTTTCTGTTTGTCTGACTAGGACACCCAAAAAATGTCCTGTGTTTACTGGAATTGGGTTGCAAACATTTGTTTGCCGATCTTCGACATTCACAGACCTTCCCTGTGGGTCTCAAGCCAGTCTGTCATCTCCCATGAAACAAACATCACAATTAATAACTCCAATACTCCTAGTTCTAAGTGCACCCAGTGGCGAAGGGGAGTTTAATGCCACGGATTTTTTATGGCCATGTGCATGGAGATACTGGCCAAGTCTAGAAATATCGACTGATCAGCTACACTACAGCTTAACAATAGTTTGCTTTGGAGTTGACAACAAAAAAATATTCCTGAGATTGGCCTTGATGGTGAAATAATCATCTGAATCAATCGCTCTGCAGGTGGTTTTGACAGACTGGGATACCACAGAGCGCGTTGGGGGACTCAAGAGCTGTGTGGCAATGGAAAAGCACCAGTAGGATGTCTGGAGTCCAGTCATAGAACAGAATGTAACTATGGAAGCTATGGCCCATTCAGTTCATTTGTTTGCCTGCAGAAAACGGTGTTAACTTACCAGATGGTAATACTGTAACTATGTGAGGTTCAAATCATTTCAGCGCAGAAATCGAAGGTTTTCTCTGGCCCAGTTTGTTTGACAGTGGGTGAACAGGAGGAGCTGTGGGCAAAATGAGTTTGAAGCTGCGAAATACTTTCTGCCACGCTTGAGCCCAAACCTAAGTCGTAGGATCATTCTCCAGAGAGTGTTTGCCCCTCCAAGTCTTTTTACCCAACACTGAAGCCCAACCCTTTGTCACCCCAGTTCTTTGTCGGTGCAGGATTGCCCTGGATTCAACGATGCACCGAGGCAGGAGGTCCACATGATCAACATGGGTGGGTCCCCCATGTTTAAGAAACAATCAAATTGGCCATCTAGTCTTACGCACCGGCAAACCGGGCAAACCATAGGGTCTTGCCGGGTCTTGCCGTAATATTCGCCATCTAATGACCGCCAATGAGGGGTCTGCCTCGCCCAGGCTGGCTGATGATGGCGAAGCTCGACGAGCGCAGGTGCCGGTGAGATGAAGAGCTTGGCAGATTTCTTCGTTCCAATCTCTTCCCAATATGAAAATATTGATATGTGGAATGGAATAGACACAAATATGGACAAATATTTGTTTACAACCTTATTTTCTTATATATCAGTATGTTTTATTGTGATATAATTTGATGTGTTCATGAACCAAACTCAATAACAAAACCTTGGTTTGGTATTGATTATGAATACCAGTAGTACCGCACAAGGCGGTGGCGGAAGTTTCAAAAATAGAAAACCTATAGGAGAGGTTGGTTGTTGTGAATCACGGATGACAGAGCGAAGCCACTGATGGAGCGACAGGTCTCTTC